TATTTCCGCGGCACATGTATTTTAAAATCAGTTCGCCGATAGCCATCAATAGCGCTACGCGTACTCATTATCAGTAGTTCTAGCCTTTTAATTTATATACGATACTCGTACTTGTCCATAATATATTTTATCAAACTTATCAAGTGTTATCAGTTTATCATCCCCTTCGTGTCGGTACTACCCCGAACAATAATATATATATATATATATATATATATATATATATATATATATATATATATATATATATATATATATATATATACAGAGAGGGAGGAGCGTTACAATATCACCATGGGCGCTGCAAATCAATCAAAACGTCAGGAATTAAAATGAAAATTAAATAAACTTAATAAAATAAGTTGTTTTTTAAATAAATTACGCTGAATTACGAATCTTATCAAAATTTTACGTGACAAAGCCATGCTGCAACTAGCAGCTTAACGCTGCTGTGTTTCGTATGGTAAGTGTAGAGAACAAGAGACCCTTTTTTACTGGAAATAAGGCATTCCATCTTAGCCCTCATGGATGACAATCCATCAGCATTTTGATTAGTAATCGAGGATAGGCGTCTGTGGACCATAGCAACCACTTACCAGTGGACAGTGTGTTCGTTTTTCACCCTTATGCTATAAAAATAAAAAGATAAAAATTAATTAACAACTTAATATGTATAATAGTTAAGCTGTAGTGAAAGTAATAATTTTATTCATTTCATTTCATTCATTCGCTATCTATCTATCATTAGAATAACAAATTTTTCTTCATGCCCATTAAACCATTGAAGAGGAAAGAGCCGCCGTCGTTTCAAAGTTACCTTGAAAAAGTAAATTATTAGAAACGATTCGCTATTGTCAGTGAAGGCTCTGAAAGCGATTTATTCATAATTTATTTGCATTAAATATTTTAGAACTTTATTAAAATTTTATTACTTAAAAAATTATGATTCTTGTTCTTCTATCATAGTGATATCAATGCGTCAATGTCAATTTGACACACAAGGCCATGGTGTGATGGTGCTAGGATAATTAGAAATTGTAGGTTCCATCTATCATTATTATAGTCGGAAACTAAATTAATCGAAAGCACAAAAACCAGCTTCGCACGGGTGATTACTGCATCTCGACAACAGTACCTACCGGGTCCAAGTATAAATCTAAACTCTTGAGTTGCTTAGTCCCCGAATGTATATATGCTTTTAGACAACAATGTCCAGTCAGGGCTCTTACCAGAAAAATTCTTTATTAATCCCAGGGCTTCTGAAGCGAATTTACAATCATAAGCCCGGAGAAAAGTTTTAGAATGTTTTAGCCTGGTGTATCAGACCAGAACTTAAGTGATTAATTGTGATAAAGAGTTTCAAGGGTCAATCGGGCTATGCTTTTTGATATTCAACAAAATGGCTCGGGTTTATTATTTATTATTATATACTCTTTGGGCCTTCCCGTGCGAGCTTGACCCGCATAACCAGGAACCCATCTGAAAACGACCCTGTTGTTACACCCTAGAGCTTTTAAACATTTGAACATCTGCCTTTCCATCCGATTATTATGTCTCAAGGCAAGAGTAGATAGGCTTTGGTTAAGGTAAGTCAGTGCGCTATACCATCTTCGTTTTTATATTTAAATTACTCAACTGGTGATGTGAATTATGTTACTGTGTAAATTATACTTAACATCTAATTTAATTTACAATTAACATTGAATATTAAAATTTTTTGAGCCGTGGTAGCTCAGACGGTTAGCGCTCGCTGTAAATTTCACCATACGCGAGCAAACCGGGTTCGATCCCCGCCGGCACCAATGAAATTGTTAATTGCAATTTTAAGTACTGATTTACCATGTACTCTGCGGTGAAGTAAAACATCATGAGGAAACCTGCATGTCTGAGAAATAAGAAAAAAATATTTCGAAGACATGTGAAGTTCGCCAACACGCATTGAGGCAGCGCGGTGGACTATTCCTTGCCCTAAAACCCTCTCAGAATTAAGAGGAGGCCTGTGCCCAGCAGTGAGACGTATTTAGGCTGTAACTTTATTTTTTACTTTTTTATTACAATTTTATATGTGAAAATAACACATATATTGTCCTTTTTTCCATGAATGCTAGCGATAACTCACCCCTTAACCCTCCATCAAAATTAAACAACATTTGTGCCGACGTTATTACCGCAGATTACTTACGCCCTATTGTATATTTTAAGAAAGACAGAAAATATTAAAAACGTTTATTATGTTAATAAAAATGTTAACTCCAGTCAGAAAAAGTGGTTTTTCTTTATTAAAGAAATTATTGGCTGGCACAAAGACTTGATTTGGTTTTATGTAATATTTTTTCTCTATTACTGGTGTGGAATAAAACGTGCGTTTTTTTATTTATTATAACAGAACTAACAGCATTTTGTAACATTATAAAGTTACTAAGTATTTACATTTTCTACTGCCAATTACAGGTTCTTACTTTATATAAAAAACAAATCTTCTAACGTATCGCTACAACTGTGTGAAAATAATATTATAAAGGGTTATTTTTAAAGAGAAGTCATTACGCCATTACGCATTTTACAAAATACAGTGCATATAATGTGTGTGTGTGTGTGTGTGTGTGTGTGTGTGTGTGTGTGTGTGTGTGTGTGTGTGTGTGTGTGTGTGTGTGTGTGTGTGGTGTGTGTGTGTGTGTGTGTGTGTGTGTGTGTGTGTGTGTGTGTGTGTGTGTGTGCGTGTGTGCGTGTGTTGTGTGTGCGTGTGTGTATGCGTGTGTGCTTTTGGTGTGTGTGTGTGTGTGCGTGTGTGTGTGTGTGTGTGTGTGTGAGTGTGTGTGTGTGTGTGTGTGTGTGTGTGTGTGTGTTTATGTGAAAGAGGTGTGGCAACGTTTAATTTATATTACCTTATTTCTTAAAATTGAGATTATTTATTTTTTTATGGAAGCTTTACTGTCGTGGAAAATATAAATAGTTGAAAAGTTTTTGTTATAGCAGTTAAGTGTACTACTAATGACAGAATTTTGAGCATATTTAGAGCGACTTAAAGGGACATGAAATAGGGGTGTGTGTCTGGTACGCTTAGAGCTTGAATTGTAGAAATTGAAATGTCTTCGGGACTATCAATTTATTACTACAGATGTCGTGTAGAAACAAAATTTGTAGAAGAGTACGTCGATCCTTTAACTGCAATAAGTTATGGTGATAGCAAGATTCCACATAACTGATTTTTTTATGTTGAGTACGATAATTTAACGCCTTAATAAATTTACATTGTATTTGCTCTATATTCTCTATATAAGACAAATAATGCGGATTCCAGACATTACAACAATACTCCAAAACACTTCTTACATAAGAATAATACAAAATGTTGATGCATTTAGAAACTGAGAAAGGACGGGACACTCTTAGAACAAATCCAAAATTTTTATACATGAGCATCTTGGGATCAAAAATAACACCAAGATCTTTGGTTTGGTAGATGCGTTCCAAAGGTATATTATCTAATTTATATCGATATTCAATTTGATGTCTTTTGCGAGTGAAGCTTATTTGATAACATTTTGTTATATTAACACTAATACGGTTATCATAATAGAAGAAACAAAGCTGATTCAAGTCTTTCTGAAGTTAGTGTGCATCTTCCTCAGACTTAATATATGCGTAAATTTTAGTGTCGTCCGCATGCATGAGAAATTTGGAAAATTTAAAGCAGTCTACTATATCATACCAGTATGATACATACAGTAACGGACTTTCTTGAGTTTTTGACATAGAATAGATTGACAAACGAACCAACAGTACATCTTTCGATATGTTTCTGCAGGTACACCCACCAACATACTAAAACAAAAAAAATTGCGATGCGAAACAATTCTAATCGAGCCGCACCCAACTGGAAGATTCACAAAAACACGGATTTACGTTTGTGTGGGCTGTCAAAACTCCAAACATACATGCACTAATAATACACAACGTAATAATACATTCGTCGTCTAATGCGAAATGACAGGTTCACCGCCTACACGAGATGTAACACTCGTGACATTGGGTCGTATCGTATTGTGTTGGCCATTCAATACATAGTTTAATGAACGATGAACCAAAAAATTAGCTTACATTTTTAATACCTAGTTATTTCATTAGCCTAACTTTTACCTGATTATAAGAGTATGCTGTGGTACAAAGACCCTCATCACCATCATCATTATTAGATACAGCCTTTCACAATTTCAACTGCTTAACATAGTCTACCCCCATGGAAATGCCACAAAGCATAATCCTGAATCACCTGCATCCGTCGACTTCCTGCATGTCTTACCAGAATCGTCGTCTCTCTATCCCAGGTCGTCGCTACGTTACTACGCCTACCCTTATAAGCTACCACCCGGGAACCTTTTTTTCCCTATCGGTCGTCTGTTTTTCGAGCTATATGGCTGGCCCATTGCCACTTCAGCTTACTAACGGCTATGTCGGTCGCTGTAGTTCTACTTTGAATATTTTTATTTCTAAGTTTATCACGCAGAGATACTCCGAGCATAGCCCTCTTAATAGCGCGCTAAGCAACATTGATCTTTGTCATACGGCCAGTAGTGAAGGACCACGTTTCAGATTTATAAGTCATCACAGGCAACATGAATTGCTTGTATAATCTCGTTTTCAAGTTTTGAGGTACACCCGAGAAAAAGTTGTGTCGCAATGCCCCGAACGCTGCCAAACCGAGTTGAATCCATCGATTGACCTCTCGGTCGAAATTGGATTGAACTTGCCTAGTCAGACTATTTGTCCCAGGTGACCTGTTTAATTCCCGACGTTTCGAAACGTCAGTAATTAAGAATTAGTTAATTAAACGCGATAAAATCCGTAAAAATCGTTTTATTAAATAATATATAGTGTCCGCGTAAATATAAGAAATCATTAAGTTTGATTTTAACATAACTGTTCTGTTAGGCTCTCAAAACGTCGGAAATTAAAAATAAATATAAATTAACAGTCACAAAATACATAAAATTTAGTTCTTATAAATATCCCAATATGCTGGCCTCGGAAGCTAGTCCAAGCATCATTTGCGTAACCTCGTTTCCTTGCTCTTGAATTCTCGATGGGGGCCAGTGGAAGGAGTTACCACGCAACTCGTAAGTGTACACCAGCGGGGTATTTAAAGTGTGTCGAACCCAATCCGTACTGCCACCAGAGGCTTTGTCTGTAATATAAAAAAATATTGTCATCTGTTCGTATGTTGGTCCTTATCTTATTATATAATTATTGATTCTGTTGACGTCACATCATCATGATGGAAGTATGAAACTTCCATCAATCAAAATGGGATCATGAAAGTAGTATAAAAGACTCTCATATCAATAATAATATTTAATTGGCTTTCACAATGAAATTTGTCTATAAGAACCTCTCACGACGTCGTAGTTTCTTGTAAACAAATAAACATCTTACTTCGTAATCGTTCGAAATCGACCAAGTTTTGAAATTCATTCGTTTTTGCATTTCTTTTTCCTTTTTTTTTAACATTCATTCATTACAAACTACATATTATAAAGGTCCACGGCTCAACATACATATCTCATATATTGCCTCATAAGAGTTACACTTGCCAAAGTTGCCATGCTTGTCTGGCGGGTTGACAACCACAGTGTTTGTTTTTTGGTTATTACTAGAAAGATTCTGCTGCTCATCTCCTGTTTTCATTCCTTTTGTCTCCTTTTACGACACCGACTGAACGATATGAGGTAGATTTTATGACACCGCCACTCTACAGTAAAACACGATACACAATAATGGTATCTTAGAAGGTATTCAAATTGAAATTATTATGACAGAGTAATTTTTAATGTAAAATTGTCCTCAAAACGGCCCGCAAAACTCTACCTCTGAACATGGGCTGAACATGTTTTCAGTTGCAGACGAAATCGCAGTACGAGACGTCTCGTAAATTTGACGCCGTCACCATGCTAGGTATTTTACGTTTGTTATGATTGAGATAATTATACCGTCATCTATCGGCAGCCGTAAGATTTTTCTGACATTTCCCATGGTCGCTTCTTACGGCACCACCACACAGCACCACTATCACACCACCTGATTAATCATGTTTGTCATCATTTCAATAGAGTTTGCTGGAAAATAAACTTATAAATTATAATAAGTTTAACGGAGATGATGTGTTGTTTTGTATATCAAATCCCAACGACATGAAACATTTGTTCCCTTTTTTAGGTTACTTCATCCTAATTAGCCGACCACTGAATTTATCGCATATGTACTACTTATCTCTGTGATCAAGATTAACGTTTCAGCGCGTGCAGATGTGCTACCAAATTTCTCCTGAGCAGTAAACTGCATCTGGCAGCATTTGAAAGCAGTTCTAGAGGGACAAGTAACTTTTTATAGAATAAGGGTGACAAATAAGCAGACCGTCGACCTGATGATAAGCGGTCGCTGTAGCTCATAGATACCTACATTTATTCCTATATCAAACTGTACGAATCAAAATGTAGATGCGTTATCACCCAAATAAGACCCTCTTTACCAGTAAAAGATGCTTCTGATTCTCCACACTTACCATACGAAACACAGCAGCGTTAAGCTTTTATATTTTGCAGGTATTCTGCGACAGCGTGGTTCTTCACCAGTCAAGGCGACCCATTCATGTTGGAACCATAATATAGCTGCAGGGTACCTTTACAACGAATAATTAAATTACAAACGTACTATTTCTTAATAAACGAATGTTTAATCTTACATAACATATCCGCTGCGGTACCCGGTCCTTGATATTTTTCTGCTCTGTTAACTTCGTAACCGTAATCGATGGAACGCCTACCCACTCTAACCTGGAATACAAATAGAATTTATTTTATTTGTGCTACTTGTACAAAGATATATTGTATTTTATTATAAGTAAACAAAGATTAATTATTAATTATTTTAAAGCATATTTTCTGTGGTTTTTTGTAGTTACGCCTATCAATTTATAAATTTCTTAAAATATAGTTTTCTGAGTATGAACGCCTCGGAGTAAACTTTATGTAGACTTTAAAAACTCAAAGAAGTGATTACTTTAATCACTCTCTCTATATTTAACTTTCCAGTGGGAAGTTATTGTAATGGGTCCGATTTTGCAAATTGGAAATTTTAAGATATATCCACGTTTCAAGGTCTTTAGAGTCGAATAGTATGGTTTTTAAGAGGACGTCCGTGTGTGCACACATACGTATGTATGTATGTATGTTCGGATTCAATTTTCGCCTCGTGTATCTCGAGAACTAAGAGTGATATTGACATGGGACCAATTTAATTTAACGCATAATTATGTAACTTAGACCTCGTAAAATTTTGAGCAAAATCGGTCAAGCCGTTTTTTTGCCGAATGAAAAATTGTATAAAATATTAAAATATATGATATTTTTTTATTCTTTCCACTGGGAAGTTGTCATGTGGACCTTTCGGGTCGCACCTAGATCACTTTTATTTATTTGTTTACTAACCAGCAATCCGCCATTTATCTTTAAAAAAGTATTGTTCGATCGATTTAGAGTTTGTAGCTTTAGTATTGATAGTTCATCGTTACGAAAGTACGGTAAGCAAGATACTTAATACTATATTTATTTAATAACGTTTATTTATTATTGTATTTAATAGTATGACTTTAATGGGCAATATGAATTATATCAAAAATGTTTCGAGTTCATTGATTTGAGTTGTAATTATATTGTGAAATATAATTACAACTCAAACCACACACACATCCACACATACAAATTGTCCACGGCTTAGATTTCTAGCAACTTTGGGTAAGTTTAGCTGTTAAAATCAAAGTTTTTCCATTACTACCAGTTATTATAGTATGTTTTTATATACAATGTTTACAGCTGACTTTTCATTACACAATACGAAAAGATTTTGTCAAAAAGTAACGTGCGAAAGGGCTACGTATAACTGTCCATGAGAAAAAAACTCAACGCCCTGGTCTTAGCCCGCAACGTGGAATGTTTGACTTTATGATCGTCATTGGAAATAAACATTTTATGAGAAATTGCAGTAGTTTAAATTAAAAAGGTAGATCCGTCGGTATTAATGGAATCCGGTGAATTAAGACGAATTCTCCAGTTCCACATCCGGTAACTTTTATTAATTCTAATTTGAATATTTTCAAGGACTTTACCTGCAACATTACACTATTACTCAAATTTCATTGTTAAGGTTCCGTAATAAAATAAACGGACGCACTGCTTTTAAAATCAATTTATGTAAGGGCAGTCCAGAGAGTTGCAAGGAATTAAGAAATTTTGTTGGGAAATTAACAACATCTTCCATGTCGATCACAGTGTCCACAGAGAAGTATGTTTGCGTTAGTGCGTTAATCTTCGAGATTATTAAATCTTTTACCTGCATTATAGTTATCTTCTTTCTCGTTTTGAATAATAAAGAAAGGAATACTTTATTTTGGAACTAAGCATTGACGCACGTAATAATATACTAATTTATAACACAAATGCAAAATTTTAATAAATTTGTATTAGGCAATCAAAGATAAACAAATTGCATACCAAGTCTTTATAATTATCGACATGTTGTGTAGAGTCTGAGAAAGGTATTAGCAACATCGCAGCGTACGAGTGTAAACTAACATAAACCAGCAGGTTGTCAATGTTCTGAATGTACGATGAAAGAGTTCGTGTCTCTATTTCAGAAAATGGCCGCGAGCCGGCATAGGTTTGATAGTCACATGGATTGTGTGTTGAAGAGTGTTCTGAAACAAGTAAATTATTTATTAAATTATTTAAAAATATAATAGGCATAAAAAGTAACTAGCGTAAACAGTATACTTACTACCCCAGTTGTAATTCCAATTTCTATTGGGATCTGCACCGAAACATCTATAGTTGGATCTTGAAAGGGTTTTCCTCCAAAGGCGATCCTAAAAATACATATGTCCATAGTATTTTTATATTTTCAACAATTTAAAAATATTTAAATGAAAAATAAGTTCAAAGTAGTATTTTTAACAATCTCTTTAATTTTTTTATTACTTATAAGTTTAAGCCGAAATGATTGTATCTAGTTAGATATGCTCCAGGTCAAGCTTCTGTCACTCTTGCTACCTGCATAATATAAATGCCTACAATCGCATGGAACCTCAAGTTACGTACGCAGTCAGGGCTAGCGTGTTTTAGACGAGCGACGTACTAGTGGATTTCGAAGGTCGAAACAGTGCTAAATGTTTACGTAAATAGATTTTTATACATACTTGTTTATAAATTTTTTTGTTTATTATATAGTTATATTTAGTTATAGGATAAAATGGTTCTTCAAGTTTTAGTACAATTTATATGTGTAATCTATATGTTTATTATTGAAAATACATTCATTAAAATTTTGGAAAACATTGTAATGAAAAAACCAGCAAATAATTTACTAAAATTATTAATGAATGTTAATTTTATCATTCTTTGTCAATATTTCTCAAAATAAAATCTAAATACTTTGATTTACTTAAATTATACGTCAGATTTAGAGTTTTTTCAACTCTACTACTACTACATTTTTTCAAAGTAAAACAGTTGTAAATTAAATAAATAGTCAAAAGGTACTGTATACGTGCTGTATTAGTTACTATTTGTTGAAAGGGTAACCAAGAAATATTGTTCGTGACGTAGGAAGTGGAAACATGCAAAGCCATAAGGACATTAGCGCACAGCGATAAAGTTTAATTTAGCTTGGGTGCGCGATTTATCTAATTAATAATAATTATGTAGACCATTAAAACGTCGGTAAGTAGTCACCATCAAAGGAGTGCCACTTCTGTATGTAGTATTATTATTTATTCTGTACCTAGGTATATTTCAAACTAATATCACAACCGCGTAGTGAGTTATACAAACACGCGCGCGCAAGCACGCGCATGCGCAAGCTCGCGCACGCGCGCTCATACGTACGCACACACACACAGACACACACACACACACACACACACACACACACACACACACACACACACACACACACACACACACACACACACACACACACACACATAACAAATGAAAAGTTTATAAAATTTTACATTACCACCGTATAACTGTAGTGATACCCATCAGGATTTACGGATGGAAAGATGCGCCAGTCGAATTGGTCTCTTAACTGCATTATTTTAGGGTCACTGCTCGTTAACAATTCATTTATAAAGAACGTAGCTGTGGCCGGAGCTATCCATTCTCTGGCGTGGATACCTTAAAATTAACAATAATATAAGGAAGTTTTTGTACATACTGTTGGCACTGATCATTGTTACATGGAGAGTAGAAAGTAGAGCTATGCTGCAGCTACATTATGGTCGTAGCACGAATGAGCCAGCTCGACCAAAATAGACCACACTCTCAGAGAATACCGGCGTGAAATAGCAGCTTATTACTGATGTGTAATTTTTATTACTGATGTTTACTTATAGTGAGCATTGAAGACCGGAGGTCCTTTTTACTGGAAACGAGGCATTCCATATTTTTTCTTGGGGTTGATTATGCATCTGTATTTTAAGTCTTAATGAGAAAAGATATAGATGTCTGTTAGCAACGGCATTCACGTATATCCACGTATACTGTGTGCTAGTTTATCACAGATATTCTATAGAAAACGATAAGAACAGGACTATTAAACTAATAAATAGATCTGCATTGCTCACTTAATCCAAGTGTGTAATGAAAAATGTGCAAAACATGAAAATAAAAATTAATATAAAAATATTTAAATTAATTCATGTTGGTAGACTATCGTTTATATCTTCGGAGATAACTGACTGCCTTAAACTTTCACAATACGAATTTGTCTCTTAAGCTATTTATGAGTGAGGAAATCCTACATAAATCCCCACATGTAAGAGTAACAGAAAGGTTATACAATACTCCTGTAGGTTGAACCCGTGATTGGTGGTAAATAACATCGATTACTAGAGGTTCCAAGAGCTTGAGAGTCAGAACGCGTCAACCTACGACTCTTCTATCGCTTTATTACTTAGTATATTCTGGGGGCAGTACCTACTGACTTAACTAATCTTAACTGTTTCTGATATAACCTTATAAAGTCAGAGGTAGGTGCGGCGCGGTACAGTATCAAAACACAGGGTAGATAACAAACTATTCACAACCCAAACTGACAGTTTTTTTTTTGTAGTATACAGAACATTCAGATACTCTGGTTATACGTTATTCAATTGTAATCTACCGCTTGATAACGATCCAATTGATCATAGAAGTAAATTATCAATTTACACATACCCCCCCTTTGTTTTCCTTCGTCATTTAAAATTCATACAACAAAAGTACTACATAGGATTCGAATTTTTTTTCTGCAAAAAACTTTTCTTCTAAATACCAAAACACAATGTGGGTTCAAATATTTAAAGAAAGAATGAATAGGCTTTCAATAAACCTATTTACAATGACTTACCCACTGCACTCACTGACAATCATATCACAATCAAACATTAGAGACTAACCGGAGTTGTTACTGGAAAATTAAATCCGTTATTAAATGAAATCAGCGACATTAATTTTATTCAGTATCATTTGCTGTAGGAACCCCCCCCTTCAAGATGAAGTGTGCTTGCACAGTGATGCAGGTAGTTGATGGATGCAAATTGGTCCGACCGTAATTTTTGGCTGGGGATGATGACAGTGATGATAAATTTCATTTGTAAATCAATATTATTATAGAGAACTACGTATCATTATAAATATCATAAGTAAATACCCGATTCAATAAAGAATACAGGTTTAGGCGTATTCGTTTTCCCAGGCGTATTGATCCGCAATCCCAGTATTGAGCGACCCTGATAGCTCTGACCGCCGACGATAAGCTCTGACCATTCTGAGTACATCCTACTCGTGTTTGTCAAAAAGATATATATCTGAAAAAAGGTACAACATATATTTTTGATTGAGCAGAAAATTCAGACACTGACTCTCCTGCTAAACCGTACCTCTAAGTTTCTAATGTAACTGTGCGAAAAGCAGCCAATGTGATTTAACCCATACCTAAAATTAATATCTTGTTATTTTTACTCAAAAGTTACTTCCGGTTCGAAAAAGTATTGCCTCTTATTTGAAATCCAAAACTTATTAAAACCGTTGGTAAATCTAACCTGAGAGAAATACTAGTAGCTTATGTAGCTAATTCCTGGCTTTAGCATAAAAATTATTAACCATTACTGGTTGAATAAAACTAATATTTATGGATTTTAAATATTTTATTAGTGTCTGAAACGTCGAAAATTACAAACGGTAAAATTAAATGCCATTAACTTAAATCCATAAAACTAAATTTCAGTTATACTTAGTTCTCTTGTCGAATTTAGACGATACGACGATTTTTTGGAGTAAACTAGATACAGTATATAAGCATGATTATTTGAATTCACCAATTCTTCTTTTAGTTCATAAGTTAGACATGGTTCGCAGCTATATTATGGCTGTAGCACAAATGATTCGGCTCGACCGGGGAAGAACCACGTTCTCACGGGATAACAGCGTAAAATAGAAGCACAATACTACTGTGATTCGTATGGCGGGTGAGGAGAACTGGAGATCCTTTTTAATGGATACGAGGCATTCCATCTAAGTCATTTAAGGTTGGCAATGCATCTCCATTTCGATTATTAATGGAGGATAAATTTAGTTGTCTATGGGCCACAGTATCCACATACCATCAGATGAACTGTGTGTCCTTGTGTTTACCTTATTCTATAAAAATAACAAACAAAAAGTCACATCTTACGACATGTGCAGTAAGAAATGATATGGATTATCTTACACGGCAAATCAATTCATCAATAACAAGCACACAAAAAGACATGAAAAAAAATCTTAAAATAAACGTACACTTAATTGTTTTCAAATTATTAAAACATCTTTATATTTGATCATAACTTACATGATCGATGTCATAGTACGCGGTCCAAGAGAAATCGTTTCTGCTTCGTATCATCGGTTTTTCCAGCTGTATTATTCTGCGAAAAATCAACTGTTTAAATATGAAGGAATTTAAAAAGATTTGGACAGCAGGATGTACGTAAATCAGAACATCTTCTTTTGGCATTTTATTTCATAAGTTATTGTCACTGGTACGATATATTTATCAAAATAATTTTAATGATTAAAAAGTAGTTGTTCAAGTACCCCGCGGTATTGGAGTTACCTGGTCACTTTAGGAAAAAGGGTAATAACTGCAGTTTTAAAACATTTTGTAACCATGTTATACTGATCAAGGAAGGAGAAAGGAAACAGATTTATAACATAAACTCTAACGCTAGTCACCCAGAGAGTAGACAGTGACTACGAACTATATGGCACGAACCTGAAACACCTCTCGCACTTATTTTATTATATATATAACTAAACTAGCTTGCCAGGCAGACGTTGTTCTACCCTTTTCGACGATCCTTTGTCGTGTTATTGAAAATCCTTAAATTCGCAAAAAAAAAAACTCGTTGGTCATGGGCAAAAAACTATCCTATCTCTCAAGTTGGACCAAACTGCACACGATGTGCAAATTTTATTAAAATCGATTAAGTAGTTTAGAACTCCGGACACACAACGTGACACGTAATTCATATACATTAAAATATCAGTACAATAGGCTTCTACTCCGTTCACATGTTTAACCCTATTTTTTTCCAGACGGTAAAAAAGGTTATCCAGTATATATCAACGCGTATATGTTTGCCGGTTAAGAATACTCTTAACTAGCTAATTTAGTCGACAAACTTTCGTGTAGCGTCTCTTACTGACTCTGTCACTCACTTCTCTAGCATAAAGTTTTGTCAATTTTTCCTAAAATATTCTTTCCACGAGTCCAAATCGCTGAAACATTATTTTCTTAATCCTGGTTACAACATCCTCTTGCAAACGACAATTCTTTTTAAGTTATTACACTATTTCTCATTTATTATATAGGTTCAGCCCTAACATACTTATTAAATTCATAATTCACAATTCGTACACACTTTAAATTATTATTACAAGTCTAAAATTTTAATAAAAGGCAACATTCAATAAAGTATAATAATAAACTTTGCATGATCACATAACCTCAAAACTTAAAACAAACTCCCATTAAGAAAATAGTACATTAATTACAACAATTAAGTTGCTCCAGAGTAAGCAAGTAGCTTAGTTTTAGCGTTCTCGTACAACACGAGTATTCGCCACTCACTACATTGTGTTCATACATGAACTTGAAACGCCCTGCTGTACGCTAATACTTAATTTATACAAAATCACCTAAAATGGTAACGTAACAGCTTATATATACGTCTCATTGCTGCATTTCTAAGAAGCATTTAGCAGAAAAGATCGCTTTTTTTTCCATTCTCTTCCCATTTACCACTGAGTAGGTAATAAATCAATATTTAAAATAATTGTAATTAGCAGTGTTTCATTGGTGCCGATTGGGAATGAACACTCTTTGCTCTCATACGGTGAAATTTTAAGGCGAGTGCTAATATTATGATAATGAGTTTCAAGGTCAGGCTCTTTGAGATCCCACAAAATGGCTCGTGTAAAAATTATGTATGTTGTACTCCTTGAACGCTCTCGTGCGAGCTTTTCGGCTTGTTCATTGTCCACTAAACACGTATGATCCGGAACCCATCTCAAAACTACCCTGTCGTTACAGCCCAGGCCGCTTAAACGATTTATATAGTCTCCAATTAGCTTTGAAGTCACTATGTTTGATTTCAGAACTTGAAACATATCTTCTTCCTGAGACTTGTAGGCGGAGTTATTGGCTCCAATGTATTGATTCTCTTCTTGAGTGGTAAGAGCAAATAGTTCGCCCAAGGGAAACAGAACTGTCGAAGTTATTTGTCTAATCCTGTTAGACTGTATCAAAAGGCGGCACGGGTCTTTGTCCTTCCGGTAGGTGCACTAGCTTTCGGAACGTATTCTGATTTGGTAAATACCTACACCATGTAGATAAAAAAGAGCCTTCAAATAAGCACCATCACTGTGGTAACAACAAGAGCACGAAAGATCAGCATATTCTAGTAGATGGCTCCTCTTTCGATGAGTTTTTTTTTGTGACTGTAGTATGTGTACTTCGTAGCACGCAGCCTTGTTTAAGGCTATAGTTGGATGTGAGAGTCGGAGTGACGGAGTGACCGTCAGCTAAACTTAAAATTATTAAATAAAATCCCTTAAATATTTGAAGATGCATTAAGTATACACCCATAGTTAAAAACAAATTATAAAGAAATAAAAACCACTTACTTCGATATGTCATCATAGATTATAGTCGCCGTTAAATTCTCTTGGACAATATTTTCATTAAAAATTGCTTGTAAATTAGGCGATACGATAAATTCAGTTCCATCTCGAGCATCGCTGTATGACAATGAATCCTAACAAACGGAAAGTGTTATCGAGTGATGAATTTTGCTACACGTAATAGAACAGGCATTTCCTTTTTTATAAATAAGTTAATAATATTCAAAAGGTTTTAATTATAATAAAATATTACTGGCACATTATAATAAAAGATTCTACCGTATTAGAAAAAATGTTCCAAGTTTTAGTTAATAATAAAATTTTAAATAATAATAAAATTTCACTGCAAATAAATTATAATGGCGCGAATCTCTAAAATTAATAAATAAGAATCAATATAATATCAATATAATTATAATAGACTTTTTTTTATTCTATTAAGTTTTAAATGCCATAGTAAATTATACTATTAACTTAAATATTTTTGGCTTTTTTGTCTTAAATAGACGTTAAGATAAAAGACAACAGCTGCTAAAATTATACTGCTCCTAGAAGAAATTTGAAATTAGTTACCGCAAGCGTACGTGTACTGGCGGTTAAATATTAGTAGTTATATTTTTCAGAGTACTTGACCGAAATACCAGGAGACGAAATATATTAAGGGGAGGCACACATATTATATACTAATGAAGAGTATATATAATATTATCCTGGTTTGTTCTACGTCTCAATTGGATGAAATTACAGACGAACACAGATAAAAAATATTGAACAAAATTCGTGCGTATGAGTTTTTTCCTGACATTTACATAGATTTCTTAAAACTAAACATCAACTTACTTTTTAACCGAATAAAACACTCAAACACACTCTTAATATCCATTACTTACATCATTTTCTTGCAACACGTTTCTTAATCTTTCAACAGCGTTTCTGTTGCCCTGAACTTTTAAACATTTATAATTTTCATAACTTCTGTATATAGGAACATCTTTGTCAGCAACAGTGATATGTAAAAAAGTGAAAAAATATACTAAAAAAAATTGTTTCATTTTCACAAAACTTGGCTCTAAGACAGTTTAATAATCAATCGTTTTAAACCTTCTGTACCTTCTCGTTTATATACGAGGCTTAACCCGATAAGCACATTCTTTAGATATTAAACGCTAATCAAAGTTTGTTTATTTCATTTTCATTCTAATTTATATGATCATTAGTGAGGTAGTGTTATAGAATGTAACATAAGGTGGTAGGGTTTCTTTTACTGGGTAAAATATTGCAACATTCGTCCTTTTAAGGAATGACCATTTCAATAGATTTACATGTTAATTGTATTCTAACGTAATATTTTTATACGGGTAACAATCGAGTAAATGGTAACTATGGCCCGTAGTCACCTACCCGTTACAGTCTATCAAAAGAGCACTCATAGGCCTCCCCCGTAGATTGCCTCATATGTGGTATATTTGCTATTCTTATCTGTTGCCACTTACGACGCCCACGTGATGTTATGAGGTAGTAGATATATATTCTTTTACCGCCACTACACGGTTACTCATCTACCTATACTTACGATGATCCAAAATATGTACATCTACTTCTACGATGTCATACGCACGATGATAATATAGCTTCGTTAAAGTAAAACGAATTAGTAAAAAGGATTTACTAATTATCTAGTTGAATAACAACTGACCTAACAAGTGGCTAAGTCCAAGAACACCTGCGGCTAACCTCAAACAAAAAACGCTACAGATGTGCTGGACCCGTAACGACTATTATTATACCGGCTCTCTATACCCTTCAAACCGTAATACAGCAATGTATTTAGCAGGGATGGGGTGACAAACGAGCACACAGTCCACCTGATGGTAGGTGGTGGTTGCGACCCATAGACATCTACATCTACCCTCGATTACAAATCAAAATTCAGATTCGTTGCCACCCGTGAGAATTAAGATGGAATGCTTTTTGTATAGGCATCTACATCTATCCTCGATTACAAATCAAAATGCAGATGCGTTGTCATCCGTGAGGACTTAGGTGGAATGCCTCGTTTGCTAGTAAAAAGAGTCTCCGGTTTTCTACACTCACCATACGAAACACAGCAGCATTAGGCTACTATTTTACGCTGGTATTCTGTGAGAGCGTGGTACTTCCCCGGTCGAACCAACCCTTTCATACACAATTATACTATACTACTAATATAACTGCAGCATAGCTCTAAATAGGTAAGAATGCTTTACCCATAAGAACTTCCCCTCTAATTGTTTTTTTTTTTTTTTTATGAACTGTTATATAATTTAATTTTGTGATATACTTTTAGATTAATCCCGCTTAAAAATTTTAATCATTAATTTATTTCTTAAAAGATTTTTACTTAACCATTTACTTAGTACTAAAGCTGCAAGCGAGAACATCATTGTATGTATTTGCAAAAGATCTTGCTTCAAAGATCGTCAGTAGCGGTGTAGGCAAATTTGATTATCTCTCCCACGTCTTATTCAATCTAGAAAGACGCCTTTTGATGAAATGAAAACAACATCAGCCAAATTAGTTTGATCTGCAACATTTCTTAAGGGTAAAGATTGAATGTAAGTGAATTATTATTCAAAACGACCTTAGCTCCACTATTTTTATAATCCTGCTCAAATTGTTCAAAACTTGGTTTAGATTGCTGGAAGAATGTTAATTAAATGGGTTGCACTTAGAACGTTATGT